CGGTGAATGACCTCATCTCCCGAGTGTGGGTGCCGCGTCTCCCGCTGGAGATGCGGCATCTCCCGCGGGAGATGCGGTGGCATCTCCAAAATCTTGGATATGTGACACTACTCATTTTCTCTTTTATATATCCAACCGAGATCTTTTCCTCTAATCTTGTTGGTTCAACGTTAATGAGTTTTTTTTCCGAGATCAATTCCCCCATTTTTTCCGAGATCATTTCAGCGTCGTCCAATCTATATTATGAGCTAAATTAAAACTGCAACAAAAATAAGATTCTTTTGTCAGATAGAAATGGAATTTGAATTCTGTCTAGACAATTTTTTAAGTCGACTAGAAATTCATACAATAGCGTGCTTTACTAAAAATACAGTTAAATGAAAGAAAATCATCTGAATTGAATTCAATAATCGTTCAAATAGATATTGAAGAATCGTTTTATTATAAACAATGAGAAAATCATATACATTCTCAAAGTGAAAAATTTCGAAAAAGAAGTGTTCCTATCGATAGGTTAAGAGCGTAGGAAGATTTCGTCTTCACTCACATTCAAAAAATTCTAATTTTTCATTCTAAAACAAAATGTTATTCAAAACAAGCTGATCATACCAATATGAGTGAATAGACTTTAATAATCCTTTAGATTTTAAAATGTTTATGAAAACAAGAAGATATTCTTGAATAAAAGAAAATATTTATTTTACTCACATTTTAATTATTTCGATTGTATGAAATTATATCTAGTCGAATTCTAGTTTTGCCCCTCGCAAAAAAAAATAGGAACTCCGATTATGCGTACAACAAACAAATTGGAAGAGAAAAGATATTCGAACTGCAATGTAGCTCTCGCTTATAGTTACAAACATATTTATTGTAACATGGTAATGATGCACTTCAAATGTCATCTATCAATGTTATCAGAATAACAGAATTCCATCTTTCAAAAACTCATAATAAACAAAGAAATGACATTTATTTTTCTTTTGGGTCGAATGACAAATAAATATGAATAGATAATCCAGATACAATTATTAGTCAAAAATCAACAATACCCATAAAAATATTGAGAAGATTATGCTAGATATATGACCTTTAACAATAAATATAACAGATAATAAAAGTAAGAATAAAATATGATACAATAACTTTTTTTGTTGCTTTTCATGATTCTATTCATGCTTGTTAACGAAAACAAAAATGAAGAACGAGTCGATTGAATTGATGCACACATCAATATATATAAATACTTGCACGTAAATTGAAAATAGAACAAAGTACACGAGAGATAAATTATTTATTGTTATTCCATATGTCAAAGAAAATGAAATAGATATTTTGATTAAATAAAATGAACTAACCACTACGTTACAAATATATTCAAAATGGTCTAAAGAAAGGTGTTGGATGAAACATAGATGGATGATAGGGAAAAGGTCCCATTACAGGTGCATTCATAAATACACCTGAAGGTGGAATATGAGCTATTGGATAGTAATTTATAAAAGGTGGTTGTACGAAATGATTTTCTTCTAGTTGTGCTGGTGATGCTAAATGTTCTCCTTCAGATTCTTGTGAATAACGACGTTGATATGGTCTATGTGCATAAGTTAATTTTGATTCTTCTTGTTCATCATCTGAATATTCAATATCACATTGTAATTGATCATCAGTCATATCTTGTTGACTAAATGATTTTGATAAAATTGGATAATCATTCCATGCAATATGTTTTTCATTTGATATTGTTGTCATATTTTGAATTGATTTTATTGCCCATAAATCTTTTGTTAAAATTTTATCCATAACATATTCATATGGTAAATAACCATAACCATGATCACCCCAATCAATTCCATGTGAATTACGTATAATAAATACTCGTTGAGAATGTATATAACCTACACAAACAATAGCATGTCGATATTGAGATGATTTTTCAGATTTTTTTGGCATTGGTATATAACCATGATGATTTGATGCAAATGATGCAAATATTTTAATAGCCATAACAAATGGATAACCTTGTGCAAGACATTGACGTAATTCATCAATATTATTTGAAAGACGACTAAATTCCATTAAACGATAATATTCTCCATTTTTATATGCTTCATAACTTGGTCGTTTATTAATAAGATGTTCATAAAATGGCCAAAATTGTTCTTCACAACAACCATATTCAATTAAACTTACAATAGCATATTGTATGTCAGCACCAGAATCTGTTTCAGTTGCATGTCGTTGTGATATTTCATCTTCCATCATTCGAGCATTATAATAAATAAATAAACGACTAAAAATTTTTATTTGTCCAGTTGAATAATAATAAAAATATTCTAATATTGATGCTAATGCATTACCAACACATGAACCAATTGTATATTGTTCTTCAATTGGACTTAAGAATGGACGTAAATCAACAACATTTGGTAATTGTGAACCAGTTAATAAAGATAAAAATGGTCGTGATACATTTAATAATGGGCTTTTATGTGATCGACGGCATCCATCTAAACGATATTGTCGTTTTGTACGACGATTGACAAGTAAACCACCAAGAGTCATAATATGAAAATGAATAAAATATGTAATGCTACCTGTATGATACATATATATATATATTCATCGATGCATATGTTTTTTTTTCCATTGGCAAAACAAATACACAACAGAACGAAACTAATGAATAATCTATTTTACTCATCAATATAGCTGTACATATTGATCGGAAAATTATACATAACCTTTTGAAACAATGCAAAAGTTCATAGCTTATTCATAGGATATTTTATGGTGATGAAATTTTTAATAAAATAACTACCAAAAACTGCTCTTCAAAATTTGTTTTTCTTATATGATCTAGAAAGAAGTTATCGTAATAACTAGCGTCATCTATTGAAAACAATAACGAATTACAGTATATCAATAATCTCATGATTCCAAGTTTAATTTTATTTATCTATATTTCAAAAGCAATTAAACATAATTAATAAAATTATTTTTCTACTAAAGGTTATTACTAAGCAATGAAGTTGCAAATGGCTACAACAGATACTCATATATAAAGATTTCGTCTTCGTTGATCAATTTTACTCACATCAATGGCGAATATTAATTCAACTGAAACAGGAAATACTGACGTTAAAGATGATATAAAACAATGCGGTCAAGCTATATTACGTGCAAAAACCGTATTGATTAAACCTTATTCAAAAGTAAAAATATTTTACATATATTTAAAAAATAAATTTTCAAATTTCAGTATACTGAAGAAGGTCTTCGTCCACGAACACCTAATGAACCATATACTTGCTTAACAAAAGAACAAGAATCAAATATCGAACGTAAAGCTAGTCCGATATTTTTTAATAAAGCTCGTACATCAACAGCAACCGGAGCCTTTCGATGTTATCGTCAACGTCAAACAGATTCATATCCAATGAGTCATTTACGTACGGGTGGTTCTGTTGGTGGTGGTACAGAATATACATATATCACACCACAAGCTTATACATCAAAATTACCCGATGAATATAATGGTTGTACAGGAAATGCTTTTCCAAAATGGTATCCAAATCGAGCCGGTGAACGAACACTTGGACATTTACGAGATGGTGAACCCGTTGAAAGATATGTTTCAATTGATATGTTTCGTCGTCCACCAACAGGACGTTCTGGTCAAATTATTTTTGATCATGGACGACCTAATGATGGATATTATTTACAAAGAAATGGATGTAAGTAGGAAAAAAGAAAACAACAACAAAAAATTTCTTTCTTTTGTTTTTCTTTTTTGTTCTAATCATTCAAAGATGATACAACATGGTTTCATTCTGATCTTAATTTAAATCGTCATCATATACTTGAATCAATTCAACTTAAAACAATGGCTGAATATGAACAACAACATGCAGAACAACAACATCAATATCGACAAGCAAAAGAAAAATGGCCACATTTATCTGAATATGATGATCAATTTGTACTTAAATCAAAAGTTGAACGAAAAGGAAAAACAGAGTATGTATAAAGAAAGCAAAAAAAAAAGAGATTTTTATCCGATCACACCAGGATTCGAACCTGGAATCCCCCGCTCCGTAGGCGGGTGCCTTAACCATTGGGCCATGCGACCGATGTTAAAGAATGAAAAAAATTCATATATCTATCAGAATAGAATAGATATATCCTTGTTAAACTTTATGAAAAATTTTCTTATATCAATAGTCGGATGGATCATACGAAGATAATCAATTTAGTTTTTTTTAATACTTTAACACAAATGAATAAAAAAAAACAACTTCTTCTTTCGATTTATTTTTGTTCAAACATGAACCACAGCTTATGTCATACTATTATTTTTATACATGATAGATCTACAGAAATATCGTAGAAATTAAATTAGATATAAGACTTTTTAATAGAAATATTTATGAAAATCTTTACTCAATTATAATTTATTCTAAGTTACTAAGAGCCATTTTATATATGAACATATCCATATAACTGTAATAAATATGTTTGTTTTTGTTTTTTTTTTTGATATCTAAAAAAATAAAATGTACTATTAAAATGATGTTTTAATTATCACTGATAAAAATTCTAATCTAATGTAAAAAAAAAAAGATTATCTGAAGAACATTATTTCTTTTCTTTTCTTTTGTGTAAAAAAAAAAAAAAGACAAGAAAAATATATATACCGATCACACCAGGATTCGAACCTGGAATCCCCCGCTCCGTAGGCGGGTGCCTTAACCATTGGGCCATGCGACCGTTGTTCATCAATGAACCTTTTTTATTTGTCAATTAAAATTTCTTTAGAGACAAAAAAAAGTTTGTAAAAATTCGTTTGTTAAAGTTCCACAAATCATTGATTTTTATTTAAATAAATAAATAATAAGTTAGTCTAGAAGGAAAACAATTAAAAAATTTCTTATATAATCTTTTCAAAGAATATCTAAGATACTTTTTTTTTTTTTAATATAGAGTTAAAAAAATAAAATTATTCAAAAAGATTGTAAATTAATTTTAACATAAGATAAAAATAGTTTGATTCAATTTTTTAACATAGAAAAGCTTTCGGAAAAGCACGTATTAGATCATAATAAGGTCATTACAAAAAAAAACAATTTTTTTTTGTCAAAAAAAGATTTTACAATTGAAAAAATAAAATAAATCAAATAGAAATCTCTTATACACTTATTCATCATACTAAAAGATATATTGCGTAGACATCTAATTACTTGTTAGATAAAAATGTATAAGCAAGAAGAGAAAAAAAAACAGAAAGAAAAAAAAAAAAACTAGACCGATCACACCAGGATTCGAACCTGGAATCCCCCGCTCCGTAGGCGGGTGCCTTAACCATTGGGCCATGCGACCGCTATACATTGAAATAAAAAAATGGATGTCAATCATTTTTAGGATAGTCAAAACTATTTGTTAGTTTCATATAATTTTAGTTTGGACCGTGCTAAACAACATATCGGACAAAATTCAACACGTTTTACATCATTACATAATCAATTAGCAGCATCTGCTGTTGCACAAGGTCGAACATTAATCAATGATCCATCACTTATTGTTAAATGCTAAATTAGATTTATTTTATCATTTTATAATGAGAACCAATAAAAAACATCAAAACAATTTTATATGCCTTTTTAATTCGTTTGGAATTTTTAATTTTATAATTAAGCTAAAAAAAAAGAATTTTTTTGTTTTTCATAATAATATTTTAACTATTTTTTAAGACTAACTGTTTTTTTTTAAATAAAATTATATATTATCATTCTTATTTTTTTTTCTAAATTACAAATCAGTGTTAATATATTTAAATGTTTACTTTATTGCCAAATAATTTCATTTCAATGTTTTTCACTATATAAAATCTTAATTATCTTTCTTCGAAAATATACTTTCTTACATACTTTTATTTAGTATGGAAAGTGGAATAGGGTAATTACTTGCAGTGTATGCATGTAGTTTGCAATTGTTAACCAAGATGAAATATAATCAACGGAAATATTTAAAAGATTTTGGTGAATTTCTCGAAAAGTTGTAATGCAGAGCTGCTTTTTGTTGTAAAGAAAATAACATCTTACTATTACCATATAGAAATGATGTTCATTATTATGTACTAAGAAGTGAAATTCTTTGCTGTAAAAATCAATATGAAGAGAAATATAGTTAATAGGAGAATCAAATATAATAGTTATGATAATTGATGAAAACAAATTTGCTCTGACGTATCTGTCACGATGTATGTGTTGACAAATCAGTAAAAGAAGAATGCATGTGTTATTCTACTTTGAAGACTGTTGAAAATCATGTTTGATTAAAAACTAAACAATAATAGTGTGATGACTAACGAGAGAATCTTTTCAATTACCTATTTCCGATTTCAATGATTTATTTTGCCTATAGATAGTGTTCTAGTAAAAGCCCTAAAAAAGATTTAGATTTCTATTGATATTTGACTAAGTTACCGAACTTTTAATATGACTATTTTCGAATTTTGATTTCAAACTTTGTGCTAATAAGGAAATCAATCACGCTGGCTTCCTTAAAAAATACTCACAAGTTTTGAACAATGTTTCTTCGCGAGATCTGAAGCTTTCAAAAAATGCATATTGTATACACGAAATTAGTCTATATCTGGAAACTGTCATATTTCGAAAAGACTTTGTTTAACACTTTCCCCATTATTTACGAAAGCTAGTCTAATTGAGTTCTCTATATGTACCAAGTATCATATCAAAATTCGAAAATATGAGTTTTCCAAAAACTTAGGAGTTCTAGAAAATAGATATATTAAAAATTGAATAGCTTAGCCAAATATCAATAGAAATCTAAATCCTTGTAGAGATTTCATTAGAACACTTTGTACTATCTATAGACAAAAAAAATCATTGAAGTCAGAAGAAGATAGCTGAAATGGTTTACTTGTAAGTCAATTTTTTCCAACGATAAGAAATAAAGAATGTTCTTGGAAATGTTTGGTATCAAGTAAAGAATTTCCACCTCCATGAAACAAAAAAAAAGAAAATAATGCTCATTGTTTTCTTTATGAATGTTTCTCTTACAAACTAATACACATCAATATCACAACTAGGTATGTACCGAGCTTTTTTTCATTACTTTCGAACACTTTTATATTAACATCTTGAGCTCTGAAATGAAAGACTGAATCATGAGGTCTAACCTATCAAAAGATAGAGCAAACATCGTTCTACAAAATGAGACATATCTAAGCTCTGTGCAATAATGCCTTCGTTTTTTATTGGAGTTTTACAAACCGAGCCCGACCGAGCCTAGGCTCGGGGCTCGGTCAGGCTCGGTAGGGGTCTGTTTGTAAAATTCCTATAAAAACTGAAGGCATTGTTGCTCAGGGCTTGGGTATGTCTCATTTTGTAGAGCGATGTTTGGTCTATCTTTTGATAAGTTAGGCCTCATGACTCAGCTTTTCACTTAAGAGCTGGAGGTTGTGAACTAAAAGTGTTTGAAAGTAACGAAAAAAAGCTCGGTACATGCCTAATCACAACAGGGGAAAAATGAATTGGCTAGTGTGTTATGTTTGTCTTTTATTATGATTTCAATTAGTTTTATTCTTTCAATCATAAAATAATGCCTTATAGACTTGCTCATTAGTCAGATTCAATGGTATACTGCAAAGTAATCTTATATCACGAGTTCAAATTGACATGAATATTATTGTAAAACCCTGCTTATAGTATCAATACAATCGACTAAAAAAGTGTGAAGTGAATATTTCGAATCTCTTTAAAAAAAGAAAAAACAACAAAGTGAAAACGACTCAAGTTATATAATATAGAAATTCAAAGGAATAATAAATATAAACTGCTTATTGATATACAACAAAATCATTATTCATGCAAAAGATAATAAGTAGTAAAAATAATTTCACAGCATTTCATCATATTATTCTTTTAAATACAATAAATGTTTCTAAAAGATTAATCAATAAATACAAATTCAATAAAAATAAACTAATCATTGTCGTTTTTATTTATTAATTCGAGCTATTCATTGTATTTCACAAAAAACAAATTGTTCCATTTTTAGAAAGTTGTCGACATACCATTTAAATTTACATCATTCTGTAATTTACAATAAACAATTAATGATATTGATTATTAATTGTTCATATACACATGCATAAAAGCATTTAAAGATAAATTTGTTTAGGAAATATGTAAGATTATATATTAAAACTAATTTATTAATGAAACTATTTGAAAAATATATGTTTTTATCCATAACAAATCTAATAAAAAAACATATTTTCATTGATTATCTTCCTGATGTAACATAAAATAATGTGAAAGAAATTTACCAAGATTCTTTTCGATGAATGACAGTTGACATAAAAGTGTTCGGAATTTTCTATATAAATTTCTCCTTTGTAAGTTGAACGATATCGGTATTTTGACAACGATGTTGATTTTATGCACCATTCTACATACATAGTCTTGTCTATAATACAAAACAATGACCAATCTAGATAAAAAAATATATTTTGAAACGTCGATACGAAGTTTCATTCGTTCTCAATTCGCTCTACAAAATGACGATTTTGAAGTGAGAACTGTGCTTGTAAAAAGAGAATGAGCACCTAGTGGCTACGACTTAATGAAAACGAGTTTCAGCAGCAGCATTTATTTTTCATTAGATCGAATGTTGTTGCCACATTATGAAGTGTTCATTAGATCGGAGATCTTGTTAACATCTGCATCTTATTTCTGTTGATGACAGAAAATTGAAATGAATTAAAGATAACAAATTAATGAAACAATGGAACTTTATATCGATGTTTTGAAACAAAACCGATTATATGGAAATATGAGACTCTTGTAACAATGTTTGAACGAAAATCATGTAATTCTTCGATTTTTAGAACATCACGACACACAATAGAAGTTTCGAGTTATGTATTGAGAAAGAAAAAAAAACGCATGATTGACGTACGTATACTGTTTCGCACAGTAATAAATAAATTTTATATGACATCTATTTGTTGATAGTGATGTACCTATCTCACATTTCAACATTTTCTTTATTGAAGAAAATAGAAATGAAAGTTTGAGAAGCCTTAAAGTTTGTTTGTTTTTTTTCTATAAAAAAATGCATTATTTGGCATTAGCATTATATGAAATCAAATATGTCAGTTAGTTATGGAAAAAAAATTCGAGTAAGAAAATGAGACTCATTATCTTTAACTTGCTTCATTTTATCTAGGTATCCATTCTTAATAAGCATTCTTCTATTCATCCATCCAGAAGTTTCAATTTCTCAAAAAAACCAAATGTTAATAAAATTTCCAGACATCATTCATTACCAAAAGTATCTTCAAATAAATTTAAAAAAAAATTTTTCATTTCTGTATTTCTTTATACAGCAATAGTTGGTTCTAATACATTATATAACACATGAAATTAATGAAAGATATTCTACTCGACGAACGATTCATACTTGTCTATCGACTAATCGATTGTTCGAAGTCAATCAAATAATATTAACACTATGAGGAATATACACATATCACGATTTTAAAAGAATAAACTCCGTATAGGATGCTAGTTTTCGAGAGTGTGGTTTAGATAATTATTATCTTTTATACGAAATCAATTTGATGTTTTATTTTCTATACAGAGTAATTCAATCATTGGAACGAATATAGAAAAATCTCCGAAATGTGTCAAAAAAGAGTAGCTTGACTATCAAAAAAAGATCTCGTCAACAATCAAAAGTAAATACAGACTAAAATATCTTATCTTTGATTATTATCGATTGATAGCAATGCAAACGAAGTCATAGTATGCCACCATCGACAATACAAGCTACTCTTGAATCTTTTTCAATTAATAAAATTGATGATTTGAATAGAAATAATAATAAGACGTTATCTGACTTGTCAATCGATCAGGTGAATACTTTTAATTATTCTTTGCTTTTCACATGGATTATTTGTTGAAATTTAATATAAGATGACAAATAATACCATCAGTAATAATAATAAAGTAAGTCATTGAAAGAAATGTATTATCTCATTAATGAATTTGAATATTAGATGATGACTAATCATATATCAATCGAATCAAATTCTTTCAAGAATGTACATAGGAATCATGAAAAATAATAAAAAGAAGCAAGTTCTACGGTATCATAGGTAAAAAACAATTCTTTGCTTGCATATTTAAACGTACGAACGCAAATTTCAAAGTGTTTACCTCCCTTTTCAATTATATACATTCCAGTTTGAAGAACTTCATGCGTATAATATTTTATATAAAGTATTCATTTCATAATGATATTCTAAAGAATTATGATTAATATTTCCATTCACTCAGCTGAGTATACACAGATGACATTTAAATACAATATTTCAGCGACTGTTAATTTAAACACTTAAATGTTCACAATTGGCAAAAGAAAGAGTGAAAGACAAGTAAAAACGCTTTCATAACTTAGTTTTCATTGGATTTTGTAATGTTGTTGACTGTTTGGCTTTTCTGTATTGTTGCACCAGAAGGTTGTAGGTGTAGGTGTCGTTATCTTCTTCACGCATACAATTACATATGAACCAACAGTCCAACCATAACCATATCATATCCTTCGACATTTTTACTTTCGTTCCGAAGTTCATATTACCATTTCAGCTAGAGTACCTTTACAGAAATTCAACACATCTTCCATAGGATATTGTTTCATATACCATTTTTCTAAGAGATTGTGAATTTTTGAATCTGAAATAATATTTTCCTTGTTAATTTTAGTAACTCAAAGCCTTATAAACATTACATGTAAATATTGTCTATTCATTTGCTTTTTTTTATATATCGATATAGAAATGGCATTTGTTGCCGGTGTTCATTAATTCGTATTCTAGTATCTATGTTCATTATCGGTATATTACTATCAAGATTTGCTGCTTTGATTGTTGCTCTTTATAGCATCAAGCAAAACAAAACAACAATAACTAATTAGTTCATTTCAAAGATATTATATACTTATATAAGAAGTTTTAATTGAAACATTTCATTTCATAGATAAATCCATTATTAGTACTACTACTTCAACTACTGCTACTATGTCGAGCAGTCTTACAACAATTGCAACTATAAGTAATGTCATTTTCCATTAGACTGTTAAAAAATAAGATTTCGTTTGAGAAATCTCTGTTGCTTTTTTTTATTAATATAAAAATAGATAATATTAATTTATTTCATTAGGTACAACAACAACAATTGCGACGATATGTGGTTCTTCATATCTCAATCAATCATGGATTGATTCATCAGATGTCATTGCTTTTTGAGAATTCGAAAATTCGTTTGAAGATTCTACTAATGTTTATAATGGAATTCCATCTTCACAAGCTCATACATTCGTTTCAGATATGTTGGTTAAACAGCTTCATTCAATGCAACTGGAAAGAATTCTATTTACACATCATTTATTTCATTGAATAATATTAGTTTTACTGTTGATATATGCATTAAACAAAATGGAGAACCAAATCCAACCGATTACAGTATAGTCAATTTATGTCCATCGGCAGTAACTAATAATTGTCTTCATATCAATATTCGTAGTAAAAAATATTATTTTGGATTCTATTCTAATGATCTACAATGTATAACAACAGCGCTATTGAACCGCTGGGTACATTGTAGCATTTGTTTTTGATGTCAGTACTCGTAAACAGATGATTTATGTTAATGGATTCTTTGATCAAGCAAGAATTGCATCTGGTGCCTTAAAAAGTACTTCAGGCAATTTTACCATAGTTACTAAGCTACATGTGAGAACTCCAAATAACTCCTTTTAGGTAAGATATGAAAATAACTATTGCTTCATTTCCTATGAATTTTAAATTTTAAATTACCGTGTCTGCTCATTTTTTAGGGTTACTTTGATCAATTATCAATCAATCGATGGGTAAAATCTTCTTGTGAAATACTTGAAATAGCAAGATTAGCTGGTCATTTCAAGTTCGACGTTGGTTCACCATTGAGTGATTCAGGACCTAATTTAATAACAAGTACAGCTTCGAATTATTTGATTATCTCGCTGGTCATAAAAATCAAGCTATATTATTTTCTGATACATCTACTTCTTATTATCAAGTATCAAGTTTAGCTTCATTAGACATAACTAATCAATCATTTTCAATTACATTTTGGGTTCAATCTTAAATTCTATCAGATACAATTGTTCATTTATCAACATCATCTTTAGGAACAGGTTCTGAATGTTTTCCATTATTGGGATTTGCTTCAAATGGAACAATCATTGCACAAGTTTTGATTGACAATAATATTGTTGTAGCACTTAAAGGTCCTACTTTACCAGTATCATCATCATGGATAGAACATGAAGTCAAACAAATGAATTGAAACTATATGTCAATAATGTACTTGTTAGCTCTATGACAACTTCAACATTTCTAGCAAGTGAAATAACATCAAATTATTTAACATTAGGTAACTGTTTAAAACATTGCAGTAGATGTTATAATGGGTCAATTAATGCAGCAGGTCTATTTACAGGTGCAATTGATGATTGGCAAATTTATAGTCGTGAACTTAACTCAAGTAATATATGTACTTAATATTCGAATTAATAAATATAATTTCAATGCTAATAGAATCCATCAAAGAAACTGATAACGAGTTAAGCTTTCTTGAAAACTATTTTTTAATTTACTTTTCACTCTCATCGATATCTGAAGAAAAAAAAGTAGAACAGATTGACGCATTCGTATCTTACTATGTTTTTCTTGACTATGTTAGATAAAAGTTGTAGTGCTGGTATGTGGATCCATAGTACCAAAATTGATTTTATTTAGTCAAAGACTCAATCATTATATTTGATCTCTATATTTTCTAGATTTAAATTAACAATCAAGGTTGATGGTTTACAAAAAAAATACTTCGATATCGACATGTTATGATCATGAAATGAAAGATGTTATTGAAAATTTAATCGAAGTCTTTTTTCCTTTCCACAACGTACAAATATTTGATTAGTTGGAGAATATTGGGATAAAAAAAGTTATTTAGAAGTATTTAATTAATTTATTTTCCTAACTTTTTAGTGTGTAATCATAATAAGGATTTAGTTGATAGACTAACAATTTTTTTTGTCAATATCATCAAAATTTGATGGACTTTACTAAATTAAAAGATGAATAAAATAAAATGATTTAAAATTTGAAAAATTCATTAGTCATATAGAATATGCTGATCTTTATCTTGATACTTTGCAAAAGTTCAATTTATAATATTAATAATAAAGTTTTTTTTTCATTTGACTCAATAAACAGGTAAAATGAAATAAAATATTCTCAATAAAACAATTATAATTTATTGAGTCAAATTATGATGCATTTCTTAAACTTTACAAATCAATAAATTACAAAAAGAAGGACGAATATTTTTTTAATCATATAATTTTTAGTCTATCGCATTTCAACTGACACAAAGTATTCATTATTTGCACATCATGTCTATTATTCATCAAGATATTAAATCATCTCAGATCAAATAGGTTTGGTCGTAAATAGCTGCTTTTGATATTGTTGCCGTTGTTAAGTAGGTGAAGTATTACGCCCAAATGCCACTGTATTGTAAATGATCAAATTCTCGATTTTTAGATCGTTTGACAACTGTTTTCAATTATGTTCATGACAATTAAATGCGACCATGATAAGAGCTCAAAAAATGTCAGTTTTTACCTATTGACAACCACAAACTATGAAATGAAACTATACAGTAAAGTTTTGGGGCGTTTCGGTGACTATAATCATCCTCCTAGGATTAATCATTGTATTAGATATAACTCTTTATCATTATGTTGTTAAAGCTAATGAAAAATCCAAGAACAAATTAAAGAAGAAAATTCGAAAATCAATAGAAATGAAGAAATAAAAGATATGTTAAGAAGAGAAAAAATCTACTTGAATTATTTTAATTAAAGTCAACATCAACAGTTAATGGTGTTAGAGTTGAGGAATCGTTTTTTTTTTCTTTAGAATTATTGACAAGATGTATATCATGTCATCCATGGAATAATGAAGATATTATTTAAAATGCAATCATGAAATTTCAACGAGACGTTCCTTCAAATGTATGAAGAAGATTATCATTGATTATTTCGAATGCATGACAAAAATGATATATTTTTAATAATCATTTATGTGATATCATTGTAAAATCTTTGACTGAATAATTTTCCTTTACTAATTCAACTCTAGAAGTGTTTTACAATAAAGAAAACAATCGAATACAATAACCACGTTTAAAAAGATTTTACTTAATTTTCAAATTTTTAAATAAAAGACAATCAAATATAAACATAGTTTAATAACAGAGATGATGCATTTAATTTTGATTTTTTTTTGCAAATATTAAAACTAATTAATCTGAATTTACGTTCATTTTTATTATATTTTTATTAACAGCACACAACGCCATCTTGTTGTCTTTAACCTTGGCTGATTTAGAAAAATGTGCATGATGAATGTTATTGCATAATCATATCAAAGCAAATATTTCTTTACTTGCAACAAAATATTTTTTTCGTTTCTTTTTTCATGGCTGCAGCAATAGTTTCTATTAATACTAATGAATGTGAACTTATTTCTTTTGATTCTTTTCAGCCGACAGAATATCTTTACAAATGGTTTACGATTCATGTAACCAAAGAAAAATTTTTAAATGAACTTTCTTCATCTCATCCTTATCGTAAAACTTATCCAATTGAAAAATTTCCTTGTCGTGTTTATTTAATTGATTATGAAGGTAATCAACGCATTCGTGTATGGTTAAATGAACAAGAAGTACAAGTTAACAAATGTTCAGATTATATCTATGAAAAATATGATCCAGATCATATGCAATCATGTTGGGTTTGTAAATGGATTGATATAGATAAAAATTGGCTAATCAATCCATCAGAAGAAATCGATGAAAAAATAATTGATAAACCTGATTTTTATCGATTACATGGTGATCGAAATATAGGATTTGGTGATGGTGGTCAAGCATTTCTTGTCTATCCTGTATGGATTCATGAAAATTTACCAGTTAGTGAATTACATCGAAAACGACTTTTAAATACATTGTATAAACTTAATGAAGAACGAAAAGATTTTCATCCATATCCATCACCTGTTGAAGATATCATTGATCCAGATCTACTTCCTTTTCGACCAATATTAACATTTGATCGAAATCAATGGATTGCACAACGATTGAAACAATTACAAACATCGGAATATGAATTAAGACAATTTAAACGATATTTAGATCAAAGAGCATATAATGATTTTTCTGAACATGAAAAATTACGAAATACTTATCAATGGTTACCATCAGAATTTATTATTGATAAAAATGGAAAAGTTGATATTAAAACACCAATTCATCATATACCTGTTTTACCTGAATATCGAGAAACTTATGGTGATATTGCACATATATTTCATGCTATGTTACCTTTATTTGAACAATTAAAATTAATTAAAATGCATAATAATGAAGAACAACGATTACAAGTTATTGTTAAAGCTCAAAGTTATAATTTAAAAGCTGGTAAGATATATTTTTATTTATTATCAATAAAAATTTAAATAAAATTTTCTTTACTAGGTATGAAATATTCAGGTCGATGGCATACAGAAGGTAAAACAGAAAATATTGTTGCTGCTGGAGTTTATTATTTACATATTGATGATCAACTTGAAGGTGGTACATTAAAATTTCGTCCAAAATATGGCCCACAAAATTGGTATGAAGGAGTTGAAATTGATCATCGAATATCATCTATTCAAACTGGTACTGCTATTGTTTTTTCTAATTCAATTCCACATCGTTTTCAACAAATTCGAAATTTAACTTCTGATGATGGTCGTCGCCGAACATTTTTGAATTTTTTTATTGTTGATCCAGAACAACAAATTCCTATGAAATCAAATAATGTTCTTCGTGCTCCAAAAGATATAATTATTGAAATACTTCATCAATGGAATAATGGACGATTACCTAATGTTGTTTTAGAAAGTATTTTAAAATGGTTAAAAATATCAACCGCATGGAACAATGAAAATGAAGCAAAAGAATTTCGAACTTGTGTTCGACGTGCTATGTTAGATGAAAAATCTGGTTGGGGTTGGATATGTTGGGGTAATTGTGGAACAACAGAATTTGTTCCATCATTATGTACATGGTCACCAAGAAGCAGAGAAGAAGCAAGAGATGAATTACATCATACAGAATCGGACTGATATGTGCAGTACTATTCAATTGTAATATCATATCTGTAGTCTAGTTGTTAAAGAAATGTAATGTTATATTTGTTTTGATAATTTGAATATTGTTTCTCTGATTTATTAGTTTTTTATTTTTGTTGAAATAAAAATTATTTTTTTGAAACGCAACACAAATATTTGAACTGTTTTTTTTTGTTGAATAAATTATAAGAAATGTTGATGTTCGAAAGTCGAACTTATACTGTCTTTATCGACTTTTTAGCATTCATTTTCTCGGTATGAAAATACAGTTAACGTTTTGAGTGAAAGAATAGCAGATTTCTTGATCGTTGACTAAGCTCAATAAAGTCTATATAAACTAATACAATTGAGTTTCCTTTTTTTTTTTTTACAAATGGTGTATTGTTCGAAAAGGAAAGTAGCAAAATATTGACTAGGACAAATATCAACAAGTGAGATAATAACAAAGTTGAACTGTATTCAAATTATAAATATAATTAAATTAAACTCTAATGCACATAAGAGTAAGAGTTAGAGTGCAGAAAAGATCTTCATGCACTCACATCGATACTTTCGTTATTGTAAATTTTTCCGATTGCGGTCGTCTCTTTGACGAACCATCACTTCAACTTCTCTTTAGCAACCATGATTTCAATACTTTTCAATACCAGTTCTTGCAACGCTAATACTTTATCTGTTGCTGAGTTTTATTTAATTGATAGATGAATCTATCGCAGATCAAGATTGATCATATAGATAAAATAAAATTATACGTTGACTGGACTAATACAATGATATGTATACAAATGGTGGTTACCAGAGAAAAACAATTTTTATTATCAACAGCATAGAAAGAAACAAAAAGGTCAAATTTTATTTTCAAATTAACGAATGCAAACAAGAATATAGAAAGAGAAAAAAGTCACAAGACAATAGACTAAATTAATATTCTGCACTATTTGAACTTTCGACATTTTTCTACTTCATTGTTTTTAATAACCATTACTATGAAAATATTAAATAATTGAAATTTGATTTTTAGAAATCAATATTCAATTCTCATTATACTTAGGGCAATCCAAGTGTAGTGGCGGAGGTACTTTCTTTTCTTATAGAAAGCTTTAAAACAATTTCTTTTTTTTTATGAACAGATAGAACCACTTTCACTCTATTTTTCCATGCTATTTGATCATTATTCAATTGGTATTATAATAATAAAATTTCGATAAGATCTGTTTCGTTCGCATATGTGCTGGTAGCAAGAATGCTCGTGAGAATTTTTTCAATAAAGTTTGATAGAAATAAGATAGAGAACTGCGATTTTCACCGTTGGAAAAAGGAGATGAAGATGCATCAAACCGTATATTACTGNAAATTATTCTAGCAAAAGCACACAAGTATAATTGATTTATTAGCAATAATGAACGCATAAATGAGTAGAAAAAGAAGACATATTTTATAAACATCATTCTATTATCTACTTAAAAAAGAAACAAAGCAAATCACTAAACAATATATCATAATAATACAGCTAAAGCAACTACGAAATAAGTAAAACATAGAGTGAATGATGTTAACAAAAAGAAAAAATGAGATATAATACAAAAATTAGCACAAGACAAAACAAAAATTCTAACATGCTTTACATAGTGGAAGCTTAGATATTAACAGCTGTAAACAAAATTCTGTATAATATAAAGAAAACATTAAAACCACTCAGAAAAATGCTTTTGTGTTTCTGAATATAATTTATCTAGTCTTTCTATTTCGGCAAGTTGAGATTTACTTGGTTTGATTAATAAAACCTTGTAATCAAAATGTCGCAAAATGACCAGATCAGCCAAACGTTTTACACGCGACAAAGGTACATAAATTGCAGCAATATCATCATTTTCATTTGGTAGTTTCAAATCAATTACAACATTATTTAAAGTTTGGCCTTGACTTTTATGCGTCGTAATAGAGTAAGCAGGTACGAGTGGTAGTGCCCGCCGCTTTATTGATAAAATTGCCTTCCGATTTGATTTTGGTTTCTTATCTTTTGGTAGAATATCAGCAATATCAATCCGAAATGTTTGTTCCATTAACGGTATCGAAACGAGATTTGGTTGAAGTTGTTCAAGATTACATTCAATCTTCGATTTAAGAATTTCAACTAATGCATATAAAGGTCGGTGAATGTATTGTGTATTGTTTGGAAATGTTTCCGAAAGAATATCTGTTGATGCAGAATCTTCTTCATAGACAAGTTGCCGAAAAATTCCATTCATTCCATTGATAAGACCCAGTTCAATAGCAATATTTTGTGTTAAAATAACAGGCATTCCAGGAACAAAAGGTAAAAGACCTGGTAAATGCTCCGTTTTGCTGTCGGATAATTCTAACAATTTTTTAATGAGTGTTGGATCTTCAATTGGTTTGCCTTTGCAGGTGTTCTGAGCTACACATACCATGGGTCTTTGTCCCATTTCAGTTGCTTTGTGAATTACTGCCTTTTTGTTCAATTGTGTTCGAACTTCGTTTCGAAACACAAGAATCGGAGCCTAAAAAGACGAAGATAGGAAATTATTGGAAACGAAAAAGAAAACATACTCTATNAAACGTTGCCGGCTCAGTGAAATCCGTGCATTCACCATCACCCCGACCTGTAAAACCACCTGAAGGAGCACAAATATAAGTACATTCTGCGTCGTAAAGAGGATTCATTCGGTCACAACAGCGGCTACTCGCCAAATAGGTCATTTTGCCGCGATACAGATATTGGTCAATTCGGGTATATTGATACCTTACGGGTCCATCCGGCAAGGGATGAATAATTTCTTGAAAGCATGTTGGAATATCAGATTCAGCCGATGATAACGATAGAAGAGCAATAACAACTATAGCGAGAGAAATAATGGAAATGTTCATATTTTTATTGATCGATCTACAAGTTTAAGAAAATGAGAACAAATTTATCAGTCAATTTCGTTAAATGAAATCGTAATAAAATATTCTGCTTGTTTTCTCCGCCATCACCTGTGTGTCATTCACATCAGGGGCGAAGTGCGTCGATGTATTCGATTGCAGCTTAATGTATATTTGTACTATGATTCACAGTTGTTATCGTAGTGCGTCTAACTGAGGATCGATGTCATATTTTTTTGCAGTTTTGCGCCTATCAAACAAAGCTACGTTGCATTTTGTTCTCGTTTTGATTTAACGTATCAGCCGTTGAATCTTACTGTTTTCTTTCATTCGTTTTCTAATAACTACGGAACAAAAGGCGATAGGTGTGGATACGTATGGTTGGGAGTTTCGGAGTGGGTATCGGTGAGGATATAAAATAGGACCGCACCCTCCCAGATACTCTGCTTCCCCCATCACCATCACCACCACCACCAACAACAACATCCACGCTGGCACCCGCACGACCGTTTCAAAATTCAACAAGTGTATTGATCGATTATTCGATCTTTACAGACTATTGTTCCAGGTTTTAATATCGAAAAACATATTGAAACGTCGGCAAAGATTCATGAATCTGAATGCTTTCGTCACCGTTTTATGCAAATTAGCAATCTAAATAAGATCCGGACTCAAGGTGTAAATGTGACTGTGGATGTGGATATGGGTCTGCTGGTGGATGTAGCTAAAGACTTGAGTTACACTCACATCCACACACCCACACCTACACGCCTGAATAAAAAATATATGCTAACTAGTATTTTTCATCGACTAATAAAATATATACAAAAACTAGATCAGAGAACTTACGAAACACTCAGTACTGCTCAATGAAGGACTCGATTGTCGTGCTGAGAATCAAGTATGAGTATCATTGATGAATACTAGAAAAAGAACGAGTGTTATTCATGGGTAGATTCACTAGAGTTCTATTCTAAGAATATAAACCCCAGATAAAATCCATATCTTGAAAGAGTATTATAGTTTGAGAAAAATGTTTTTAAACTTGACATCAATTCGATCGAATAAAAGTTTAATGAAGAATTATAAATTGGTTTGTTTTCTTAAACTGACATATCAATTGTTTGTATGAATTATTGTCGAGAATTTTTAAAGAAGAATAATCAAAGAGATTTTCTTCGGCAGAAGGTAAAACGATTGAAAATGATATACTCTTGCTTTTTTTCAGTAATTATATACTATACTCCTTTGTTGTAAACTATACATCCATTTTCTACACTATTGAATCCATTTGTCATTTGATTTCTACTATATCATTTTGGAAGAAAAATTGAGTTATTTTCTTTGTCTTTTCACACATTCATCAAAAATACTAGAAATCTGCGCCAGCTAAGTTTCTTATAACTTTTCAAAGTAAAGTGATCTTTAAAAACGACTTTTTCAGTAGATATAGTCTCATTAATAGGAAAAAAATTTCTCTTTTGCTGCAAAATTAGACAAATTTCACATCTCACTGAGCAATTTCAAAAGACAAAGCTCAACTGAGAAAAGGTCAAGATAACAGATCTGAAGCTCGACGAGACCAGCGAATTTTCAGCTGCTTTTCTTTTTTTGTTAAATTCACAAATAAGGATACATAGATATAAATTTCACCATAAATTTTGAGTAAATGATATATATTCTAATAGAAAATATTATTTGTAAAGAATATACATAGAAATATAACCTACTCTGTTTCTTTTTTTCCTCTTTAGACAACGAACATCAACAGTACATATTGATAGGTATTTATTTCCGGTTGCATGCATGATTTGAAGTAGTTTTATTTCTCTCACTTTATTTCTTTTTTTATATAAAATACTAGAAAAAACAATGAGACCACTTTCAGACATCTCATGATCATAAACAAAGCTCTAACAAAAAAAGAATCATTTGATATTTGAACATATGAAAAAGATTAAAATAGATTAAAAAAAGAACATCTTTCAACGAAATGAATGGAAATAATCATATGAACGTAATGAATAGGAAAAACGTAAGTCATACAATGACGATGTTGCTAAAGAAGTCATGCTTTATGATATAATAAAATCATTAACTTAAAATTCATTGTCAAAAATCCCTATGTATACTAATTAATGCGCGGAACCGCTCTGTCTCTCTCTCTGAAAAAAGAAACAACGTAAAAAGATATTACATAAACGAACAAGTAACGTTCGTCGGTTCGACTCACTTGACCCGCGACTGTTTAAGACAGAAGTATATTCCGCGTTTGTTGTATGGAAACCATTGGGCTACTAGCTTTATCTCAATAACTGACTGAGATCTCGATTTCTTGAATCATAAAAGTCAAAGAAATTGATCTGCTTTTTTGTAAAATAGTTCAGAATAAAGCTTACTTTTCAGAAATAGATTGTAAAAGCTAGCCATTCTTTATCCAAATGCACTTTAACTCATAAATATCGGAAGTAAAATAAGTGTTATACTGTTACACATCAGTAGCATGATGAAATAAGCCGATTGTAGTTGATAATATGTGTTCATACAGTAATTAAGAAACTTAACACTAAAAGTCCTATGTTTACGAACAATATGCAACTATAAATGATTCATTGGTAATGATAAGAATGTGAAGAAATCGAAAAATGTAAATAACTACTCAATATCATTTTATTATGTGAGAAAAAAAACAAAAACTACAGCATAAAAATTCATTATCAAGAACTACCAAAATAGATAGAATATATGTAAAAAACATGTGCGAGAAAAAGATGTAAAATGCAAAAAATATTAATAGTAGAAATATAAAAATTTTAACATGAGCTACAGATGGAAGATTAGAAATGTAAACAATCATATGCAAAATTTCGTATAATATGAGCAGACATTAAAACCACTCAGAAAAACGCTTTTGTGTTTCTGAATATAGCTTATCCAGTCTTTCTATTTCGGCCAGTTGAGATTTACTTGGCTTGATTGATAAAATCTTGTAATCAAAATGTCGCAAAATGACCAAATCAGCCAAGCGTTTTACACGGGATAGTGGTACATAAATTGCAGCAATGTCATCAGTTTCATTTGGCAGTTTCAAATCAATTACAACATTATTTAAAGTTTGGCCTTGACTTTTATGTGTCGTAATACAATAAGCAGGTACGAGTGGTAGTGCACGCCGCTTTATTGATAAAATTGCCTTTCGATTTGATTTTGGTTTCTTATCTTTTGGTAAAACATCAGCAATATCAATTCGAAATGTTTGTTCCATTAATGGTATCGGAACGAGATTTGGTTGAAGTTGTTCAAGATTATAATCAATCTTCGATTTGAGAACTTCAACTAATGCATATAAAGGTCGATGAATGTATTGTGTGTTGTTTGGAAATGTTTCCGAAAGAATATCTGTTGACACAGAATCTTCTTCATACACAAGTTGTCGAAAAATTCCATTCGTTCCGTTAATAAGCCCCAATTCAATAGCAATGTTTTGTGTTAATATAACAGGCATTCCAGGAACAAAAGGCAACAGACCTGGTAAATGCTCAGTTTTGCTATCGGATAACTCTAACAATTTTTTAATGAGTGTCGGATCTTCAATTGGTTTGCCTTTCCAAGTATCTTGTGCGACACATACCATGGGTCTTTGTCCCATTTCTTTTGCGTTGTGAATTGCTGCCTTGTTGTTCAATTGTGTTCGTACTTCATTTCGAAACACAAGGATCGGGGCCTAGAGAGATGAAAATAGAAAATTATTGGAAACGAAAATGAAAACATACTTTATTCCAAGGTGAATCATGCAGAGAGCCTACTGATGGTTGTCCAATAACTCGTGTCAATAATAATTCATAATCGTCATAGTTGCATTGTCCATGACGAAGTCTTTCAAGCAACTGAAGATACCGTGGATCTTCTGTTCGCATTTGTTGAGTAAGTTTTACCACACAATTAATTTGAAGAATTAAAGAACGTGCAACACGTTGTTGAATTTCTTTTTCTGTGGGTAGTTTACCCAATTTCTCTTTAGATGGTAATGAAAAATCGGTGTGCAATGGTGCATCATAAACAGGTCGATATTGTAAGTAGTCACCAAAGAAGATAACATTCACACCACCGAATGGAACTTGAGGATCAACATGTTTTGCAGAGCAAATAATTCGATTAAGTTTTGCTAGTAAATTTAAGCCAACCATACTCATCTCATCGATTAATAAATATTCGACGAGTCTCCATTCTTTTTCAAGTTTTAAATCACCTGGTTTGATAGTTCGTGGCTTTCCGGAATTACGTTGTTCACCCAAAAATGAATGAATTGTCATACCACCTATTTCAGCAGCAGCAATTCCAGTGGGTGCAAGCTTTCGCATCATTTGCATTCTTTTCGTAACAAGAAAGTATTTGCTGAGAGCACGAATAAGTTGTGATTTGCCTGTACCGCCACATCCAGGTATGCACATTATAAGTTGACCATTATTATCACCTGAAACTACTTTATACTTCAATTCCTGTTAAATTAAGTTATAAAGGTACCTGTTCGACATCGGCTGTCCCCATCAAGATGGCTTGTTATTATCATGAATGCAGCTTGTTGTTCTCTATTTAATGTAAATTCATCAGCGATGCTTTTTTGAGTGGGAAAGTTGGTTGCGACTGAAACGACTGGAAGAATTGAGCTATAGTTTTCAAAATTGTTTTTATTATAATTATTTGGATTCACCACTGTTACAACAGCATCTTTTGCAGCATGTAAATCTAATGTATCATCTGCATTGGCGTAGGTGCCTGTAATTAAACCTTTTCTGACTCGTTCTTTTTCAGTCTTCAGTTGTTCTTGCCATTTTGTATTTAATCGAATAAGATTTGGCGTTGCACAAATGAACGGTACAAGTTGTTGATTCCCGGAATCGATAATTTCATCTAAAGAAGATTGACGGTGAGCTATAACGAATTTTACATTTTATTTTCAATTTCAACTGACTAATCATCTTAAAGTATTACTTACTATTTATATGATTAAATCGTCCAACACTTTCGACTGCTTCAATAGCTTCCTCGATATATTTATTTTCTGTTGATCTTTTTGTGGCATTAATCACTGCAGTTGTGTATTCATCTATATTGCCTATTAATTCTAATAAGTCTTCACTATGGTCCATGTCATATTCGCCATCAATGTGTTGATTTGCAGGCAAAAAAACGGGATCGATGATAGTACCATTATCCGTTTGAGCTTCAGTAATAACTTGAAGTAAATGCTCATCGCGATCTTTTTTACATTCATGTAAAAGTTGAATATTTTCTATGATCTTCCATGAACGAATGGAAATATGATGTTGTCGAGATTTAAGAGCATCTTCCCATGTTTGACTGATGTCACAAAGATCTGTGACAGTGCGCCAAGGTACGAAAAGTGTGAGAAGAGCTCGACTATATCGTTCTCGAGTATCGTCACGATCCCGTCGAGGAATTTGTGGACCATAAAGAACAGGTACATGGTGCTCACTATATTCCATCAAGAGATGTGTTGATGTTTGTGGATGCTGCTTTTGGAAAGGATAACGTTGATTACGTGGTCGACCTTTTTCGTTAATCTTGTTGTTCATCGATGCTGCAGCTTCGGATAAATACTTCAAATCTGCTGCATTCGCTTTTTTCTTATACAGTGCGCTGACGAAGTCGTATAAACACATATCATTCAGAATATCGGAGCGGTATTGATAATCAGTTCTTGTATTGATGAGTACGTATTTTTTATCATTTTCAGTCGATTGAATTTGAAAATGTTCTTCGTTATTGTTATCATCATCAATAGCTCCATCATCATATACATCATCGTCGGTTACATCTGAACAAAAAGAAAGACAATATATCTTAGTTGTTATTTAATTATGATATTTCAACTCAACCAATCTTCACTATTTCTCATTCACATGTGTAGTAGAAATAACAGCTAGAATATTTTCCTATTTTACAGTTTAAGATTTGAGTAACATTATATAAAAAATTTCAACGACACAAAGATGAGAAAAGAGAAAAACCTATTGTACTGGTTCTCTGTATGACATCTTCAGGAAAAAAAGATATATATAATGAATACCACTATTACATGCCTAATGATAGCAAACTATATTTTCGATGAATAAAATAACCATTAACTTAATTTTTAGAGATAATTTCCTCTCACGTCTTTCTTCCTCTGCTCATCCTGTTTTATCCTTAGTCCTTTTTTCATAATAACTACAAATGCATTCAAAGAAAAAACATACTGACCTTGCATCGAACCTTCGGATTTTTGTTTGGAGCGTAATTCATTCAACTGCGTTTGTAAATACCGTTCGGTTTGAATTAAATAAACGCCTTGAAACTTGTGTGTTGTGTAATGATCATCCCAATTCATAAGATATGAAGCAACTTGAACTCCAGATAGCTCTTGTTGAGAAGCAAGTGTATTATAACATCGTAAAACGAGTTTCCGTGATTTTTCAATTGCATCTACTTTGCCTGTTTGATGCGATGGATTCATATATGATGTAATGCTTTTTTGTACAAGAGCAAATGTATCATGAAAAGAGAGACTCATCTTTGTCACATAATCAGTAATATAATAAACGAGAGCCTTTGCATCACTACCACTCCAAATAAATTTGACATCCATGTTGGATCGACAAGCCGCAATAAGGTATTCATTAAAATTGTTAATCCATGGATCTGATCGTCGCATAGAAATATGGCCAGTATCAGGATCAATTGTCGAGACTGGCACCAATTTGCGTGGCATACGCAATCGACAACTTTTCTTGCCACCTTGTTTAGGATTAGAATACTTGTAACATGTGTCACTATGCTTGTGCTTGTTGCCTGTTTCCACAAGTTGTACCACATCTGCACGAAAGCGTGCTGCAAAATTAGGCGATGATGGATTTGGAGTTGGTAAGCAAGCTGGAATTAATTTTGTTTCATTTTGTGAAGCATTTATAACTGAAATATGATCTATACTTTATTTTTTTCTAGTACTTCTATTTCTTACTAGATGTTGATCGATCATGTGTTGGTGTCCGTAACGATTTATTCAATAATGGAGAAGCGTAAGGAATTGAGGGTGAAGCATAAGGAATTGACGGAGAAAGTTGTTGCTTGATTGGTGTCGACCAAACAGGAGATTTATTTATATTTTGTGCTAAACCTGTTAAATCAATGGTACGTAAAGCGGCATAAATATTATCTTGTGATAATCTTGTAGGAGTATTGAATGATGTTGGTACTATAACGAAAAAACAAAAATCAATATTCAAATAAAAGAAAAATATTTTATACCGTTTGAATATTCAAAGGCATGTTTCTCTTTGAAATCATCTAAATCTTCTTTGATGATGTCCTCTAAGTATGCTTTTAACTTCTCACGAAAATTGACGTCTTGAATTTTTTCTTTCATATCGGCTGGTTTCATATCATGATCAAGCCAAATAAGGAGATGCAAATGAAGTGAACCTCGACCTTGACTTTCAACAGTACCGAAATAAGCCTTTACTGATCCAAGAACACCACCAATAATCATAGTATTTAAAATGTTGGAAATCAATAAATGAAAAAATTTTGCAGTAGCAACCGGATGAGATGCGATAATTTCAGCTCTTTTGTAAGTATCCATAAGTTGTTCGTTTTGAATATTGTCTAGATCGAGTTTAACGCCGGCAAAGTATAATGCTACAGGACTGAATATCGGCTGGATTTAAAGTAAGAAATATGCTTGGCAGCCCTTGATTATATATAAGTGCATGAATTCGGCTACGTAAAGCCGTTCGTGAATATGCTGAACCCATAACTCGGCCGCCAATAGTTTTAATATGTTGCAGCAGTTTGTTTAATGCATTGTTTGATTCTGAATTGTATGTTCTTTTGGAGTTGTTGTCAAGCGCTGTTTCAATATCTTTACTATTCAAAGATAGAATTTCATCAGCAGATGCTTGAAAATAAGGTTTTGTTGCTATTAATTGAGCATGAAAGCAGGCATCACGGCGGGTGTGGGTGTGGGTGTGTGGGTGTGGGTGTGGGTGTGGGTGTGGGTGTGGGTGTGGGTGTGGGTGTGGGTGTGGGTGTGGGTGTGGGTGTGG